AGGAATGATCCTGGAATAATCCCGGGAACGATCCTGGAATGATCCCTGGAATAATCCAGGGACGATCCCAGGAACGATCCTGGAATAATCCCGGAATTATCCCAGGAACAATCCCGGAAATGATCCAGGAATGATCCTGGAATGATCCAGGAATAATCCCAGGAGCGATCCTGGAATGATCCAGGAATGATCCCAGGAATTATCCCAGGAAAGATCCTGGAATGATCCCTGGAATGATCCCAGGAATTATCACAGGAAAGATCCTGGAATGATCCCTGGAATAATCCAGGAATGATCCCAGGAATTATCCCAGGAACAATCCCGGAAATGATCCAGGAATGATCCTGGAATGATCCCTGGAATGATCCCAGGAGCGATCCTGGAATGATCCCGGGAATGATCCCTGGAATTATTCCAGGAACGATCCCGGAAATGATCCAGGAACGATCCCAGGAATGATCCTGGAATGATCCCGGGAATGATCCCTGGAATGATCCCAGGAATGATCCCTGGAATAATCTCTGGAATGATCCTGGAATGATCCCGGGAATGATCCAGGCACAATCCCAGGAACGACTCCAGGAATGATTCTGGAATGATCCCTGGAATAATCCCGGGAATGATCCAGGAATGATCCCTGGAATTATTCCAGGAATGATCCTGGGAACGATCCAGGAATTATCCTGGAACAATCCCAGGAACGATTCCAGGAATGATCCTGGAATAATCCTGGGAATGATCCAGGAATGATCCCAGGAATGATCCCAGGAACGATCCTGGAAGGATTCTGGAACAATCCCAGGAACGATCCCGGAATCCTCGTCCACGACCAATCCCGATTTTTTATCTACCTCTTAGCCGTAGGTGACTCTAGGTAGGGGCGACTCCCCGGGCGTAGTTTTAGGGAGAAAAGGAAAATTAAATTTAAAAAGTTAAAAAAAAAAAATTTAAAATTTAAAAATAAAAAAAAAGGAGAAAAAAATAAAAATTTACACTTTTTCCAAAGAAAACATTCTTTTAAAAAAAAATAGGATTAAAAGAAAATAGGATTAAAAAAATTAGGATTTATGGGATTGCTTTCCCTCGAGGAAAGTGATTTTTGAGTCCTTGGAAGCTCCAGACCTCACCAGCCCCAGATTTGGGCTGTGACTGATTTTATTTTTATTTTTATTTTTATTTTTATTTCTATTTTTATTTTTATTTTCATTTTCAATGCTTGATTTTCCCTTATTTTTTTGATTTTCCTTGGATTTTTCCTCCTTCCCTCTCACCCCTCTGGCCTCCCCACAGGGCTGGGGGAATCCACGTCGATAATTTGGTTTTTTTCCTATTTTTTCCAATGGTTTTGGGTTTTTTTTGGGGTGATGGCAGCAGGGGGGGAGGGGGGGTGGAGCTGAATTTTGGGAGCATCCAAAGGTGCTGCTTTTCCCAGGAAATTTCAGGCTCTTTAGGTACAAATTGTGATTTTTGGGATGTTGTTTTGCCTCTTTTTTGAGTTGTTTTCACCTGTTTTCCCCTTATTTTTTAAATTTTTTTTTTGGCCACAAATCGCTTTGTTTCCACTGTTTCGTTGTGAAAAAATAAAAGAGCAAAAACAGAGAAAGAAGCAAAAAAAAAAAAAAAAAAAATTAAAGTGTTTGTGTGGATTTGTGGGATTGGGGAGGGGAAAAAAAAGGGGAAATTGGGGAGTAAGGGGAAAATTAAGGGGAAATTTGGAATTAAAAGGGAGAAAATAGAGGGGAAATGGAGGGGAAATAGGAAAAGAAATGGGAAAAATGGGAAAATTAAAGGGGAAATGGGGAGGAAAAAATAAAGGGAAGAGGAAAAACTGAAAAATGGGAAATGGGAAGAAATAAGGGGGAAGCAGGAAAAGGGAATGGAGGATAAAATAGGAAAATAAATAAGAACTAGAGGAGAAAAATGGATAAAAAGAGGAAAATGGAGGGGAAATGGAGAAATTAAGGGGAAAAGAGAGAGCAGAGGAAAAATCAATGGGGAAAAGTTAAAGGAGAAAGAGAAAATTAAATAAATAATGGGAAATGGACAGGGGGAAGGGAAATAAAGGAAAATATATAAATAAAATTGGGAAATAGAATGGGAAAATGAGAAATAAATGGAGAACGCAGAAAGAAAGGGGGAATAGAGGAAAACCAGAAGAATAAATGGAGTGGAAAATAAATAAAGTGGGAAATAGAGGAAGAAAAGGGGAGAAATAAGGCAAAACCCCAGAGGAATAAAGGCAGGAAAAAGCAAAAAAAAAAAAAAAAAATCCAAAAATAAAAGTGAAAATCAGCGTGCCGGGCACGCAGCGCCAGTGGCGGAGCTGGGGGCTGGCCCGGCGGGTGGAAGGGCGCCGGTAGCGGGATTTGAGGAGGTTTTGAGGGCGGGAGTGCGGCGGAATTCCCGCAATTCCCGGAATTCCCGGTCCCGGAGCAGCCGGAGCCCCGGGACTATTTCCCGCGGGCGGAGGGATAGGGAGGCCGCGCGGCGCCTCCCGGTACACCCAGCGGTCCCATGGTGTAATGGTTAGCACTCTGGACTTTGAATCCAGCGATCCGAGTTCAAATCTCGGTGGGACCTCGCGTTTCTTTTTGCTTGCTGCCGCCGCCACCGCCCCGGGGCTGAGGAGGGGAGCGGAAAGGACCGGAGGAGGGTGAGAGGCGGCGGGGACCCCACCGGGAATACCGGGCCCGCACCGGCGCCCGCCGCGCTCCATTTTGTACGTGGGCGCCCGCACTTCACGGCGCAGGCGCGGGCGAAAGGCGGCTGATGGAAGCCGGAGGGCACTCTCCGTCTTCCACCGCTGATTGGCTGAGCAGGATGTCACTCTGGCAATCCCGTATGTCTATTGGCTGGCCTCGCGTTTCGCCCCGCCTTCCACCGGCCAGGCCCGGAGCCCTCCGGGGAGAATCGCCGTCTCCGTTTTCCATCGCTGATTGGCTGTTCGGTCTGTCACTCTCACAAGCTCTCATTTTTACTGGCTGAGAGCGCTCTTTGCACCGCCTCCTTCTTCCGCAATCTGTATTCCCCGGGGGGTTTCGCACTCTCCGTTCCCCATGGCTGATTGGCTACATCTTCTGTCACTCTGGCAATATCGCGTTTCTATTCGCTGTGACCTTCCTTTGTACCGCCTCCCACCTCCCCGATCCCCCGGGAGCGGGTTCGCGCCCTCCCTTCTCCAACGCTGATTGGCCGAGCGGATGTCACTCTGCCAATCCCGCGTTGCTATTGGCTGCGAGCGCACTTTGGCCCGCCTCCCCCTCAGCAGCCGGCCCGGAGCCCTCATGGCGGGTTCGAGCCCTCACGACGCAGCGCGGCCCCTCGGGCCCTGCCCTGAGGCGCCGTGGGGCCGGCATTGCCCCGAATCCCCTCAGAGGCGGCTTAGCCCGCTCTGACGCACGTTCCCAGCCGTTTAACGTCGATTAACGGGTCAATCCCCTCCGGCCGCGGCCCGGTTATCGCCCTGGATTAGGGGCAGCTCAGGCCCCAGAGGAGCCGATTGCCTCAAGGCCAAGAATATACGATTTTTAATTTATTTTTACCTAAATAGCCTGAAATGGTCTTGGAGCAGTGGCCAGGAGAAGAAGCAGCACCTTTGGGTGTGCCCCAAGTTAATTACGGAGCATCCCACATCCAGTTCCATCACCCCCCCAAAAAACCCCACAAACTCCATCAAATAAATAGAATTCTGCCCCAAAAAAAACCCCAACAGAACCATCAAAAACTCCACCGAAAAGCAAGATTCAGCCCCACTGTGCTCCCGTGTTTTAAAGGCGAAAACCAAAAAAGTATTGGAGCATTAAAAGGATAATGTCAGCCACGAGTCAGCTCTCGGGACCGAGGTCTGACGCTGTGGCAAACAAAATCCAATTAGAGCCAAAATAAAGCCACGAGTTCTACTTTTTGGAGAGTATTTCCTGCAAGAAACAGAGGCCGTGGCGGTGCTGGCGGGTTTATTGAGCGTCTGCGAGAAAGAACAAAACCAGCTGGATTTTGGGGTGTTTTGGGGTGTTTTGGGGTGTTTTGGAGCCAGGGAGTGCCGGGAGCGGGGTTCTGGCTGCAGGGGGACTCCCTGCTTGAGGAAAATCCACTTTTTCTGTCTTCTCCTCCCGTTTTTAGGGTGTCCCGAGCGCCTTTGCTCCGTGGAGAGGCCGAGCAGGGATCCCTGAGGCAGGAAATCCGCTCCAGGAGGGATCCAGAGGGATTTCCTTGGGATTTAACCGGGCTGGGAGAAGAGGAGGAGTGGGAGAGGGCTGGGGACAGCGCCGCGAGGGACTCAGGAATTCAAATTATTGCTGCTTCTCCTTTGGGGTCGATGGTCTTGGGGCAGTTTTGGGAGAGTTTTCCCCCGCGATTAAACGGAAAATAATCCTGGGAATGGGTTTTCAAAAAATAAAAAAAAAAAAGCAAAACGGCTCCAACCAGCAAACGCAGCCCACTGAATTCGGGAGCTGGCTGTGCCTCGCGGTTTTCTCTGTCAAGCAGGGGATTAAATTGATAAATTTATCCCAAAAAGCCAAAAGGGAGCAGCGGGAGCGCAGCCCTGCGTGCTCAGGGGTGGCTCCACGCTGATTTTCCAGGGCTTTTCCAGAGGGGGAAGCCAGAGCTGGCGGAGGTGCTGCTGGCTTCTCCCTCCTTGCCAGCCCGTCCCAGCTGGAATCCCCGGGGCAGAATCTGTGGGATTTTTGGGATAAAGGACAAAGCTGGGATCCCTGGGAGCAGCCGCAGCTCAGGCTGCTGAAAATGCAGAAATTTTGCTTTTTTTGCTCGTGGGAAACCAAAGCTCAGCTGCGGCGGGGGTGGTGCTTTTGGGTTTTTTGGGTTTTTTTTTGTTTTGTTTTGTTTTTGCTTTGTTCATGCTTTTTTTTTCCTTCTCCTCCTCCTCGTGCTGCCCTTTCACTGCGCTAGGGTTCGGCTCTGGGGAGCAGGAGCCTGCCGTCAGTCCTGGGGGGCACGGGGGTCAGCTGACGGTGCAGCCCCCCTTCTCCTTTGAGGTGATTTTGGGGTGTTTTGGGGTGTTTTGGAGCCAGGGAGTGCCGGGAGCGGGGTTCTGGCTGCAGGGGGACTCCCTGCTTGAGGAAAATCCACTTTTTCTGTCTTCTCCTCCCGTTTTTAGGGTGTCCCGAGCGCCTTTGCTCCGTGGAGAGGCCGAGCAGGGATCCCTGAGGCAGGAAAACCGCTCCAGGAGGGATCCAGAGGGATTTCCTTGGGATTTAACCGGGCTGGGAGAAGAGGAGGAGTGGGAGAGGGCTGGGGACAGCGCCGCGAGGGACTCAGGAATTCAAATTATTGCTGCTTCTCCTTTGGGGTCGATGGTCTTGGGGCAGTTTTGGGAGAGTTTTCCCCCGCGATTAAACGGAAAATAATCCTGGGAATGGGTTTTCAAAAAATAAAAAAAAAAAAGCAAAACGGCTCCAACCAGCAAACGCAGCCCACTGAATTCGGGAGCTGGCTGTGCCTCGCGGTTTTCTCTGTCAAGCAGGGGATTAAATTGATAAATTTATCCCAAAAAGCCAAAAGGGAGCAGCGGGAGCGCAGCCCTGCGTGCTCAGGGGTGGCTCCACGCTGATTTTCCAGGGCTTTTCCAGAGGGGGAAGCCAGAGCTGGCGGAGGTGCTGCTGGCTTCTCCCTCCTTGCCAGCCCGTCCCAGCTGGAATCCCCGGGGCAGAATCTGTGGGATTTTTGGGATAAAGGACAAAGCTGGGATCCCTGGGAGCAGCCACAGCTCGGGCTGCTGAAAATGCAGAAATTTTGCTTTTTTTGCTCGTGGGAAACCAAAGCTCAGCTGCGGCGGGGGTGGCGCTTTTGGGTTTTTTGGTTTTTTTTTTTTTTGTTTTTGCTTTGTTCATGCTTTTTTTTTCCTTCTCCTCCTCCTCGTGCTGCCCTTTCACTGCGCTAGGGTTCGGCTCTGGGGAGCAGGAGCCTGCCGGCAGTCCTGGGGGGCACGGGGGTCAGCTGACGGTGCAGCCCCCCTTCTCCTTGAAGGGGTTCTTGTCCTCGGGCACGCCCTTGAGCAGCGGGTCCTCGCCCGCCATGGACTCGATGTACTCCTTGATCTCCTTGCCCGTCTTGGAGACCTGCCCGGGGCGAGACGCGGACACTGCGGGGGGGTCTGCACCGGGGGG